TTAAGTATATATTTACTTTTATCTATAAATTTTCCTTTTTTACCCATAAGCTTTCTACATTCATGTTTTAAAATTTTAATTAATGCCTTATACCTTGAAGAAATCTTTAAAATTATTTTATGAAAAAGGACCAGTGGTAATTAACTTCCTCAGTATTTATTAAGGATTCTTTATCCATTTCCTTAGTAAATTTTGTGAGGTATTCTTGGTTGGCAGTCTTTCTCCTTTGCAGTAAATGTATTAACCCGCTGTCCTGGCTTGCAAAATTTCTGCAGTGAAATCTGCTTGTAGTTTTTTTTTTTTTTTTTGTTTTTTTTGTTTTTTTTGTTTTTCTCCGGTACCGGGAACCGAACTCACGACCTTGCGCTTGCCAGGCAGGCGCTTTGCCGCTGAGCTAAATCCCCAGCCCCTGCTTGTAGTCTTATGGTGTTGCTTTTTACATTATGAGTTGCTTTTGTCTTGCTGCTTTCACAATTCTTTCCACTTTTGACTTTTGACAGTTTATTTGCATTATATCTGTTTTAGACCTTATAAGATTCAACCATTTTGGCTCTTATGACTTTCATGTTTCTTTCCAAATTTAGAGTGTTTTCAGCAATTATTTATTTAAATATCTAGTTCATTCTTCTCTCTATCTTCCTAGATTTCTACTATGCATATATCATATCTCATAACAGTGTCTCATAATTCCTGTGGCTTTTTCCCTTTTTTCCTCTTCTGGTAGCTCTTTTCTATTGGCTTATCTTCTAGTTTACTGATTCTTCTGCACCTTCAGTTTTTGTCCCCATGGTGATCAGAAGCTAAGCACTGCCAACTCTTACTTTTTGTTTCTCTCACACAGAGGTATTAATTTTAACTAAGAGAATATTTTGTACTAGTAGGAACATAAAACATATGAAAATACAGTAAGTTTTATCTTTGGTTAAGTATATGTTTTGGGCCTGTTCTCATTCTCTGTTCAATCTACTACACAAACTTCACAGGATACTTAAAATGGAAAATCAGAGACTAAGCAATAATTATCCAGAATTAGAAAATTAGATCACAGATCATGACTATGATATATAATATTATAATATATTATAAATTTGTATATATTATAAATTTATAATCTATTATAAATTTTTCTTTGATTTGGTTTTATCATTTTTATGTATAAGTTGTCAGTCAAAAAGGTCCCTGGTTGTTTTTATTCTTTTCAGTAAAAGTCTTAAGATCATTTTCTTTGTAATATAAGATAAAATATACCACATTTTCCATAAGGCCTGCAATTCATTGCTTTATTGTGATCACTGTAATTTGGAAAACCAACACTGGATCTACACATGATCCTCACAATGTGACCTCTAGAGATTGCATAACTGGGCTTTTTTATTTGTTACTCCTTTCATGACTGTAAAGTAAACTTATGTTATTTTCATACAAGTTTGGTCTGATGTATGCAGTATGTACCAATTTACTTCCCAGAGTACAATTTATGTAATAAACTTAGGCAAATTTTAATTTATTTGTAATGAGCTTCCCCAATTATCATTTCTCTAACATGTGGATGTAACCGAAGGAAGTGCTGAAGAACTGGCTTTTTTTTTTTCCCCCCTCTGGTACGGGGAACCGAACTCACAAACTTGCACTTGCCAGGCAGGCGCTGTGACGCTGAGCTAAGTCCCCAGCCCCAGAACTGTTTTATTAAATGCCTTTGGTTATCAGGGTAAGGAGTGACTTGAACTGCAGTGAAATGAATCATAATAGTCAATGATGGAAGTCTTCTCTTTCTGCCACCTTGCATTTTGTGAATATGGTTTAGTGCCTTTTTCTAATAATACCAGTGTGCCATCCCTCATCCCTTTCCCCCTTTCCCCCTTTCCCACAGCTGCTAGGAAGCACTGATCTCTTCATGGTTTTCATGGCTTGGTCCTTTCCAGATTCTCATACAGATGGAATCATACTGTGCAGAGATTTCAGATTTTCTTCTTTCAGCTAGTAATACTCACTTAAATTTCTTTTACTTTTAAGTGGCATGTTAGCTGGTTTCTTTTTATTATACCTTCCATTTTATAGTGTGTCATGGTTTATTTATTGAAGTACATTTTAGCTTCTTTTAATATTTGACACTTGTAAATAAAGTATTTCTAAGCACTCAGATGTAGATGAGTTGTTTTGCTATGAGAACGATGTAGCTGAGAACACTTTCCTGCCAGAATGTTACTCTTCACCAGATCCCACATGAGAGTTACGGGTCTCCAGTACTGGACTCTCAAACACATGCAAACCCAAAATTTTCATGGACATATTGAGAGCTTAGGCTTCAGCAGAACTACTCTCTTCTAGCCTTAAAGGTTTTCTGTGTCATTTCCCAGGGCTGTCCACCTCAACAGACCTTATATGCTGTGGTGGGCCTGCACTGTGTTGGGCAAAGTGATTCTCCCTAGAACCGCTTCGAGAAAGCTATGCCTCAAACTTCAATTAGACTGTCTGTTTACAGAGCCCTGCTTGCTTCCTAAGCAGCTAGCTGTTAATAACTGGGCTCCAAGCGAATGTGGAACTTACTACTCTGGGAATATTGGCCAAAGGAGTGGTTAAAGTGCATGCAAAAAGGAATGGACTCTCTGTGCAACAGTCCAAGACTCCTGGAGTGCATGGTGAGTTTAGAGCAGATTTGCAGGACACCAGTCAGCAAAATCAGCAGTAAGTTGTTCTCAGAGATGTTTGTCTGGCCATCGTGTCCCCTCTTCTCCGACAGATTGCCTAAGTTAGGTTGACATTTGTCACATAAATAACAGCCTGTTCCTTTGCTGCTTCACGACCAAAACTTCTATCCAAATGTTGCAAATATTTTTCTTCTATATCTTTGTGCTCATGTACTTGAGTTTTACATAAACCCCTGCAGAGATCTCAGCTCAGTGCTGTTTCCCTGAAGTGCTCTTATGCTGAAGCAGCAGCCCCTCGGGATCTCTTGGTGACTGAACTAAAGTCTCTTGTCTTTTTTTTTTGGTTTTTTGGTTTTTCTCCAGTACCAGGAACCGAACTCACGACCTTGCACTTGCCAGGCAGGCGCTTTTGCCGCTGAGCTAAATCCCCAGCCCCAAGTCTCTTGTCTGAGTAATTTTTCATCCTCTGTGCCATCACAGCCACACAGTGAGCCCACGCATGTATGAACTGTTGTATGCATGTATGAACATACCCCTGTAAAATTTGTTCTTATTATTCTCCCCAACTTCAAGGATTTTAAAAGAGAAAATAAACCTCTTCAAATTGAAACATACCACCCCCTACTTTTTCAAGCATTGGTCATTTGGTAGGTGCTGAATCATCTCATTGGTCATTTGGTAGGTGATCTGAATCATCTCATTGAATCATCACACAACTCTGAAGGTAGAGAATGTGTTTATCTACAGATGGGGCACATGGGCATCAACAAGTTAAAAGTTTATCATCTTGTACCTAAAGCGACCTTCTGGTAGTGCAAAAAAGTGATTAATGAATATATTGTGACCAACCTCTGCGTGTTCACCCACACTGATTTAATCATATACTGCTCTATTCTATACCTCAATGTCTTTGAGCCTTCTGGCAGATTTTCCAGATGTACTCTCCATGGTATGTGTTTCTTTTATACAGCAGTTGCCTTCTCACTTATTCTTTTTTTTTTTTTTTTTTTTTTTGTTTTGTTTTTCTCCGGTACCGGGAACCGAACTCACGACCTTGCGCTTGCCATCACTTATTCTTAAAATATCATCTTTGCCATGAAGGTGTGAGTTGTGTGTGAGTGTGTGTGTGTGTGAGCTCATGTGCTTTAACATTTGCTAATTGGCAGTTTAAAAGAGACTGTTTACAGCACTGAAAAAGTGAGCAGAATTGGAGCATTTATTTTTTTTTAACTGATAACAAAACAATATCTGATAAGATGCCTTTAAAAAAATAACTTGCCAAAGTAAACAAATTGCTCCCCTATAATGTTATAATATATGATAAATATTTTGTTTTTGTGAAAGTGACAGTATGGAGGCATTATAATAACTTTGTATACCTACGACTAGAGTTAGGCCAACTCTCACTGATTAATGTTGTGCCTTCCACAAGACTACCCTTACTTTAGATTCCAGCCACAAGTTTAGGAGTTCCCAGGGATACCTTTATTTCTGAACAACAAACCAGAAATTTAAGGATCCCCTTGACCTCATCAGATTTGATAATTGTAAAAATGGCTGTGTGAATTCATGATTATGCCATATTTATAATTATAGTGTAATTATATCAAAAGGATACAAGTCAAAACATATGAGATGACATCTATCAGGGTCCTGAATGTGAAATTTCCATAGGCCCCATGTCTGTGTTACCTTCCAGCCTTTTAATTTGAGGAAATATGAGACTATTCCCAATTGAAAGCTATTCTGAGCTTTAATGCTCAGAGATTTTATTGGAGGTCATTATATAGCAGAAGTGATTGCATTATTGGGCATAAGGTTAAAATCAATCTCTAGCATTCCTTTCCTGCCTAGGCAGATATCTCGAGACTCAAAATCCTTATACTTGAATCACTTGGTTTGTCCCAGCATGACCAGTCCCAGCCTGAATACTACTTTTGTTATTATAAGCTATCTGGGGCCTTGATGAGAGACTTCAGTAACTTAAAGCATCAGGGACCACCATAGATAACACGAGAGTTCTATTACTTTGAAAAATCCAAAGAGTTAGAGTCTACCATTTTGGAACTGAGTTATTTATGAACAGCAGGGAAAAGCTAAGAGCAGAGAGGTACATCTTCAGAAAGAATAAGATCTCAATTGTTCCTTCCCACCACACTTGAGTGGGAAAAGGGGGAGGATGACGTCTGAGTATCATATCAATGATACTCTTAGAATGTGGTACCAATAAATTGCTTGATCAGCCACAAATGATGAGGTGAATGCAATGTGCACAAGTGTTTGCTCACTTTGACTACTTTATAAATAATTACAATGAACTTAAAAACACATGAATTTTCTCTTTGGTGATGGATTTACACACCACAGTTCTCAGGAAAGACGTTTCTAATTTCTTGGTTCCTCTTTTCGTTTCCTTCCTATTTTGTTCCCCTGCCACTTGAGTTACCACTTTTGTTATATTTGTATAATTTTAGCCTGGTCAAAGGCTGCAGTTCTCACTGCACTGGTCTTGGGAATTTGACCTCTGTTTGTGGACTGAGTGGCTCCACACTGTGGTTTAATTCTCATGACATTTCTTTCAGGATACCTGCCTGCTTATTGTGAGTCACGTCCTCTTGCTGAATGACTGCACAATTTACCAACGTGTTTATTCCTTATTTATAACATGTTGTAAGGCAGCTAGGCAGCATATTTTCTGAGAAAGCAGAAAGTCTCTTCTCAACATGGCTTCAGAGAAGACTTATGCTAAAGCAAGATTCAAAAATGAATCAAAGTCTCCAGGCACTAATTCAGACTCTCCAGAAGGTAAGAAGATTATTTGTAGTAGTCACAGTTAGTAATGAGGTGAAGGATGAAGATAAGGTTAATAACAAAACACAGGTCGTGTTAATTGCTGGTTCTCCAAGTGGCTGTGCTGGGGAAGCACCAGAGGCTCAGCAGACTGAGTTGCCTGTAGAAAGCATTGAGGAAGGCTACAGAATTGGATTTTGATAGATGCACACACAAGATGGTTAACATAGTTACGCAGCTAGTTTCCGTCAGTTGACTGAAAAGAAAGTTTTGTGCTAATATTGTACAGACAAGATATCGTGCCTGTATCTTCTAACCTGATTGACTACTAGGAAGACAGCACTATGCAATGTATTAACTGTTGTAACTGTCCTACTCACCTGTTTTGAAACTTGGTTTCATTGTTAGGTTTATTTTTTTCTCTCTAAAGTAAAAAAATAGAATTGTATTTTGAGAAATAAAAGATTCACAATTCTGTCTTTATTCTTACTATTAAAAAACTATGATTTTTGCTTGTTACTGTCTTTGATTGTTTGATCAGTCTTGCATTCTTTTGTCTGGTGGACTGAGAAACTTCCCTGAAGATAACAGTATGGAATGCAGCAACCGTTGTTAATTCCTATCATTTTGTTCTGAGGTCATGTATCGTTTTTATTGCTTTTGTATTGTTTTGATTTTGTCTTCATTGTTGTTTTGTTAGTTTTTTAATCTTTACAATTAAACAATAAAATTGTGATTTGCATTTTAATGTGTATCAATTTACTTCTATATATAAATACTTTTTTCCAATAATGAAATCATATCATGTGACACTGAAGAATTGTTCCTCTCCACTTGACAGTATAAGGTAAATTTAAGAAAATGGTTTTTATTTGCCCAGCATTTTTATCTTGATGGAAGTTTTCACTTTTCCCTAGTGTTGGGGGCTGAACCCAGGTCTGTAGATTCTAGGTAAGTGCTCTACAGCTAAGCTACACCCCTGCCTCCAAATGTTTTCTAACCATGAACTGATGACTAAGAAGACAGCCCTTACCTCGAAAATGTGAAGTATGATTAAAAAGATTTACCTGCTATCACACTGTTTACAGTGAGAAACAATCTCACAGAGTATTTAAATATGCAGTTACTTGTGTTGAAGAAGAAAACATGGTGATATAAAAATGCTTATGATTCACTGTAAGAGAAAATAGTAGGTCAGATTTTTGTATGCTGTGTCATGATATAATGTGCCTATGTAATTTAATAATGGTTAAAAGGATAACAACAGTTATTTCCAAAGTTAAAAATTTGTGCTTTTCTGAATTTGGTAAAGTTTCTATTGTGAACATTATAATTTCTTCCCTATCTAATTTTCATAGAATTCCAAATGTTCTTACTGTTAGTCATTGTATTCCATGTAAGAAAATGCAGAAGAATAAGAGGAGGAAGAAAATGAATTTAGGACAGAATTTATTACTGAAGTAAGCAATTAACTTAGCTTCTTCTTTAGATCCCAAAGAGAAGGCCACCTCTCACAGAAGTAATCCTGCTATCCCTAAACTGCTTCTGGCCTCGTTGCTGATACTCTTTTTGCTGAAGACAATCTTATCAGCTGTCCCTTCCATCAGTAAGTGTACCATCTGAAGCAAAGCAGCGTGCACCTTATGTGAAGAAAACGTGTCCATTGGAAACCGTCATTTAGCAAGGTTCATCCAGAAAGCTGAAAAAGAGATTTCATCTGAGGATATATAATTTATGGGAATCCATTGAGCATTCTGGTCTCTATTTGGATTTAGTTCCTTGACTGTAAAAATAATGGACTCCATTCTCTTTAGAGCAAATTCATGTGTATGTCTTGCTTCTGTAGAGTGAAATCTATGAGGTATCATGTTAGTATCAGACTCTGGGTAAATATGAAAAAAATGTGTATTACTTCAGTGGGAATTATTTTAAGTGTACAGACACTTGTTTTGGGATGAGCAGACAGACAAGAAGGAGATAGGGAGTAATATTCCAGGAAGAATACTTCAGTGAATTTTCTTTGAATTATTTTGGCTCACCAAAGACTGTGTGAGATCTAAGTATCAGTTTAGAAAAAGGTATAATTTTGCATGTTTTGGCTTATAGAATTTATCAAATTTTTAAAATGAATAAATTTAGCATATTTTGGTAGATCTTTTCATTCACTTGGTCATTCAATAAGTACTAATTACTAAGAGCCATTTGGTGTATGTTTTTAGTGCATCAGATAGTGTTTCTTCCTCCTCCTCCTTCTCCTCCTCTTCCTTCTCCTTCTCCTCCTCCTCCTCCTCCTCCTCCT